AACCTGTTTCCTTTTCTTGGTTAGGGATGTTGTTTGCTAGAAGTGGTCTGTCTAGACAAGCTGAGTTGTCTATCAAGACAGACAGAATGTGATTCTTTGTGAGGAGTCTAAGCTGGATATTCCTAGAGCTAGAGCAAACCACAGGGCGAAGGTGGACATGTGTATAGTCTGGACTGTTGTTTTGAAAATATTTCTTTTTTAAGTTTAGTTACTATTCACCACACTCATTTCTCCAGATAGAAGAGAACTGTAAGATCAGACATAAGTCAGACCTAGTCAAGTAATTTGCTTTTATACATAGTGAACTGAAACCCTGGGACAGCCCTGAAAGTAGTAAAATTATACTATTTCACCCTGAAAGACAAGCAATAGCTAGAGGTCTGAAACTTAAGTTGGGTGGGCTTGGGAAGACCAAGAGAGGTGCATGTTTAATTTTGTAACAAAGACAAAATTTTCACAAATTTAGTTAATCTACTTACTTTCAATCAATCCCATTTTATCACGTTATAATGCATTGTTCCCTCTTTCTATGTCCTGCCTTTTTCCAGTGAAAATATGATTTATGTTTCCTGTGAGAAAGTAGGAAAGGAATTGAGTTACCCTACCCTATAGAGGTGTTTAAGTTAAATTGTGACTTGTGACAGTATGAGAACACAAAGCTGTTTTCTTAAAAATGAAGAGTACCCCTTCAATGAGGAAGTGAGGAGATGTGTAGGAAGAGAGAGAGAGCCGATAGAGCTCTACAGAGAGATGGCAGCAGAATTCACCCTGTTCTGTTCCCTTCCCATACTTTCCTTAGTGTAGTTGCACGCCACCACCATAAACAGCATCTGTCTAACTGCTTGTCAATCAATATGTAGCTGTAGTGCAACTGCATTTAGCATTTTGTGGACAGTTAGATCCTATAGTTTAGGACGGATAGTGAAAACTGGAACAAAGACCCCCTCTACAAGTTACAGGTATTGTGCAATTAACTGGTCACCTTAAGACCAGCTACACATACAAAATAGCTATCACCCAGTTAAAGTTCCAATCAGCTATAAAATTAGACCTCAAAATGTGTACTAACTTTTAGCTGGTTGCTATCAAGCTTTAATTTGCATGTGTAGCAGCATCTACCTCGCAGCTGGGAGCCCTATCAACTGACAGGGCTCCCAGCCACAGGGATGAACCTCGCTCAGCATGAAAACCCTGACCCCTAGGGATCATAGCTGCTGTGATCCCCAATCCTGGGGGGAGGCGCAAGTGGGCAGGATGTGAAACCCCCAGCCCACACAAGGCTCTTGGTCCAGCTCCTCATCCACAGTGGGGACTGAGTCCTGCAACTGACAGGGCTTCTTGTTCTGCTATGTGCGAGTGTCATCCAGAGCCGATACCTTCATCAGCTGTGAGGTTATCAGTCCCAGCTACATGTAGGTGCAGCTGGGACTGGGAGCACCATCAACTGCAGGGTCTGTTGTCCCTGCCTGTGCATGGCCCCTGTGCCTGGGAACCTCCTCAGTAAAAGGGGCTCGAGGCCATGAGCGCCTGCTTCTTCAGTACAGAGGCAGCCCAGGATTGGGTTCCCCCTGCACCCAGCAATATAGCATGATTGGAACTAATGTGTGATTTCACAATCATGCCTCCTGCCATGCATGTATAGCATGGCAGAGGATGTGATTATATGGATCATGCATTAGATCCAATCACGCCTTTACCTTCGTATGTAGAGGGTGCCAAGTACAAAGAAAGGAACCAAAAAAGTATTGATACATTTTATGAAATGGAAGAAACAAAGGAAGGAAATATATGTAATCTAAGACGATGTCTACACTGAATAAGTGAGTGTTAGGCAGAAGAAATACACAAGCTAAATCTAAACAAGCGCCCGGACAGCAAAAGCAGTACACTTGCCATAACATGGAGCTCTGCTTCTGCACATTTAGTCTCTTTGCCTGTCCTGGCTCTTTCCC